TTCTTGGGAAAGAGGATTTATACAACGCCACCAGGTTTATTGCATGCTGTACTTATTTTGCTTGAAGGATTCTATTCTGTTCCTGTTAGCCAGCGGAGATACTGTGGATTATACTACCTCTCCGCTACAACACCTTAACAGAAATACCCTCATGTTATCATTACCAGCCACCAGTGAATACTTTGTATTAAGGGTGACCCCCTTACTGCTATTGGGGTGACCCCCCACGTACTGGAGTGCCTATGTTTATGGGTTTATGTTACCAACCGCCCGTGGCCACATTAAATTAAGGGTGACCCCCTTAATTCTAATGGGGTGACCCACCCACATACTAGAGTGCCTTTACTTATATGTGTACTAATATAAGTTTATTGACGCAGAGGTGCAGCTCCGCTGTATAACTGGGAAGTACCAAACATCCACACGCCCTGACCAGTCAGCAGGCAGTTTTTACGAGGATTACCCCACCAATAGTACCCGTCCCACCCTTTGGGACAATACAGGGGTGACCCCCCCTATTCATTTACAAGACTGTCAATGTCTCCAATGTAACCAAGGGAAACCACCTTGGCGTGAATGCATGACTTATGGCACCAGTCATTAGAGGGTGACCCCCTCTCATTTGGCACTCCAACCACTCACAATATTATTATTGCACTCAATTGTAGATGTACACCAGTTGCATTGGGAATCAGACACCCTGCAACGTTAAGAGGTGCACACATATTACTCATGTGCATCTCATCCCGCCATTACAGGAACCTTGGGGCATGATGCCTGAACCATCACAAACCCCGACACAAGATTCCTGCAACATGTCATATGCTGCTGTGGCAACGTCAGTGAAGAAGACGCTTATGGAGTGCACGACCTAACACCTGATTCACGAGACAGCTCCCGACTGCCAACCAAGACGTAGAGGGAGCAGAGGGCTCGGAGACAACCAGGGTAAAAGGCAAAAGGCACTAGGAAAGCTCAGGTTTCGTAACCATGAGATTTAAAGGTAGGCCTCCACTCAAGACACCTGAATGTGTAGAATCATGTGACGTAATCCCTCCTCCACTTCCATCCTCCGAGGAGGATGACTTTTATCCCAATTCACCCACTATTGCAAAAGTGGACGAATAGCGAACAGCCGATTTGACCTCTGTTGCTGGCGACAGGCACATTATGCCAACTACGGCATCTCATTACATCAAAGAATACATAACGTAGTGCTCTCCACAGAGAAAGGGTTGTCACGAGATTACAAACACTTAAGAAAATGTCTTCATCGACACACTGGGCTTACCCCATTCAACCCACGGGCACCACGGCACCCAAGATCTTCAAAGAAATTGACAACGGGATTTCGGACCTAGGGAAGAGAGCAATAGGACCATTGGCAACTAGATTATTATTATTTTTATTATTACTACTAGATTATT